TGGCCAAGATGGAGGCGTAGGTAGACATACTGTGCCTCCTTCCACAACCAAAATATGGACAAAAACAATTGAGAAACAAAATAACAACCAGAACTGACAGAAAATTGAACTGTATGGAAGTCGGACAACCAAGGAGATAAAATAGACACATTCATTCAGACAGGTAAGCAGGGCGGAGTCAGGCAGCCCAGTGGAGAGGGGCCCTGGCACAAAAAGTGGTGGCGCCGGGCACGAAAGCAGACCCCAGGTGCAGGGTGGCAACGGGCAGACCCAGCAAGGCAGCAATTGTGAAGCGAGGCACTGTGTACAAGACGGCCGACCAAGCCGTGCGTAGATAAAGCAGGTGAAATTGGGGAGCAAGACAGACCATGCAACCCAGGACCCCAGTGCAGGGAAATAAAGCCTCAAAACACCGATTGAAAACACCTGTGGGGGGCCAGGGGGAGTCACCGCTTAGCGGGCACAGTCTGTGTTTTGGGCGTTGAAAAGTTCTGCATAGAGATAGTGGCGATGTGTAGACAACATCGTCAATGTAGTTAATGCTACTAATATGTACATTAAAAGTTGTTAAACGATACATTTTGTGTATATGAAAAGAATACGAGAAAGAGAGGATGAAGCGAAAGAAGAGCAGGCTGGGGGCGCACAGCTGGAGGCCCTGCCTGAATGAACCCAGTAGTGACCTGAGCACAGCAGGGGAAAAAATTAAGTCTAGTTTAAACTATGTACTGTTATATAAAAGAAACCTTTGTGTCTTTACATTTTAACCAAGTTCAGAATAAAACCTCAACCTTCAGACTGAGCAAATTACTTATTAGCTGAAGAAAGGTGAAGGTGTTGTAGGCAACAGATGAGTCAATGCACGCTCTCGGAGACGAAGATAGGTTTCAAAGATCTCTAATTTTATTGATTACAAAATAATAGTCTAATTATAAATTTGGTGGCCAAGCTTTACCTGCGCAGGGGCGAACTTCCCCAGATGTGAACGGAGTCACATTAGCTTTAAAGCTACAGATGGGAGTCGCGCGTGGCTCACAGACTATGGGGTTCTTATAGGGCAGAGCAAGCGAATGCGGGGTTACAGAAGCAGATGTGGCAGTTAGCTATTAGCCAGGTTGCTAAGTTAAAAAAACGGCAAAAGTCTCTAATTGGTGGCTGGGAGCTGGGGGTCTCATCTGGCGGGCCTTGGTCAGTTACCTTATTTGGCTAGGAATTTTAACCCAGCCGTTCCCTGACATTTATTTATTACCCAGTCTCAGGAACTGCAGATGCCTAACGGCTGTTTGTATGTTTCTACTACTAATGGCTATTACAAAGGGAAGTTTGGAGTCAGTATTCCGGTTTTCTTCCTGCTGGGTTCAAGCCCCTGACCTGGAAAACTGCCATGGCCCCCGCCCTCTCTGCTGCCTGGAAAACTCAGTCTCCCACACCTGCACCAGCGGGTTCCTGCACAAATCACAGACCAGTACAGTGCAGCCCCCTCCCACCCCCACGCCCTGCCTCACCTGTGTCTGCATCTGGAGCCACAAGCCCACACACAGCCCAGTTCAGAAGCAGCCCCGTCAACACACACACACACACACACACACACACACACACACGGGCACACACCAGCAACGTCCTGCCTCTGCTGAAGTTCCAGGCCCACAGGCGCCCACGATGACTTTGAGACTCCCGGGGTCTGTGCTTTTGCTCCGACCACAGAGAGACGCAGGCGCCCCAGTCCTCTCCTATGGGCGCCTCCTCCGCAGCGGACTCGGTGCTGCGGCACCTCTCCCAGTCAAAACCTCTCAACACCTTTGCTCTCTTTAACCTTTTGTAACTTCTTTGGGGTTTTAGAGCCATCTAAATTCTTTTATTTTTTTAGAGTTGAATTTCACATAAATTATTTAAAAATCTACAATTCAGTGGCATTTAGTACATTCACCATGTACAACTGAGGCTCGGGAATTATCCAAACACGATTATCTTGCCACTCAGCTGAGAAGCGTAGAAACTGAACAGACATAGAGGGCGTGTGGAGGGGAGGTGAGAGGAGAATGTTCCAGACAGAGGGAACAGCATGTGCGAGGGCCGAGGGCAGACAGAGAGCTTCCGCTCGGTGAAAGTGGCTCAGAGTGCAGACGACCAGGTAATGGGCGCGCTCTCTCCGGGTTTGTATTTCAGGAGCAGAAGCCCTGGCCCCTCTGCGAAGCCCTCCCCAGAGAGGAGGTTAGGTGCCCTCTCAGTGTCCTACCGTGGGGTCAGCAGTTCCTTGTCCCCACTTTGACAGCACGTCTGCCCCTGCCCTCCTTGTTCTCCCAACCTCCTCTGGCCCTGAAGCCCCTGAGGCCATGGACCACACTGGAATCCATACAGCTACTTAATTGTTACTTTAAAGACCTTTCAGAGCCTGGGGTTCACTGTGGACTCCCTTGTCTCCAGGACTAGTGGTGCCCGGGTGGGATCCCTCCTGTTGGGGCTCAAATATAAAGGACTCAAAGGGATACAGGGTGCAGCGGGGGGGGGGGGGGGGGGGGGCAAAAAAAAAAAAAGATTTGGAATGGTGTCCAGAATTCAAAGTGTATAGGAATATTGGAGAGACATATAAGATGTCCTCACCCCCCCCCCAAGGGGATGAGACAAATAGAGCCAGGGCCATTGAGAGCTGTTTTGCATAGCAACAGTTTTGCAGCTAACCTCTGGAATGATTATTTAACGTATCTATAACCTTTAACTGGTTTCATCGATATGTTAAATAGCTGTGGCCAAGTTTTGAGCTAGGGAGAAGGGAGTGGTTTGTACCCAGGATGTAACTAGGGGCTGTGCCCCTGAGTGAGGGCGCCAGTGTGAGAGCTTGGAAAAGATTGGCTCTGGGACATGAGGGGATAACTGCCCAGGTGAAGGGAGAGCCACACAGTTTGGGGCAGAGTGAGGACCACTTCAGTCATGTAGGAGAGAGCCACACGGTTTCAGCAGAGTGAGGACCCCCTCTTGGTGAGGTAAAAGAGGGAGCCACGTGGTTCTGGCAGGGTGCGGACCCCCTCTTTCCCAGGTGAAAGAGAAAACCACGCAGCTTTGCCAGAATGGAGACCCCTGCAGCCAGGTGAAGAAGAAAGCCACACGCGCTTTTGGCCAGAGTGCAAACCCCCCAGCTTTGGTAGAAGAGGCCCACGTGGCTTTGGGGTGCTCCCTTTGGCCGCGGGGCCTGAAAAGCAAGGGAGACTTTGACTGGAACTGGGTACAAAGGACTCTTGCCAGTGGACCATGAGAGGGTACCACAGTACTTTGGATTAACTCGAGATCCTGCCTGACACAGTTGACAATACCAGCGGCCTCAAACACAGACATGTGCTCTTTTCCTGATTTACGGTACCCGGAGTGGGGGCAGTGGGAGAAGGGAGCTGTGTGGGTGTAGGTGTAGACCCTAAAGGACTTTGATATTTTAGTGGAGGCGTTAGGCCTGAATAGCATTAAATAAACATTTTGTTTCCTTTTCACAAATCTCTGGCATTGAGAGATGTCTTTCCAATTGGCGGCGGACAAAAGAGCCCAGTAGATATTAGTATACTGTACTTGGGAAAGGCCCCTGTTCTTTATCAGTTTTTGGCATCCCTAGGTGGGCCAAATACTGCCCCCGCCCCCCACCTCTTGTTCGGTAACAAAAGGACCCCGGACAGCTGACAGAAGCAGGTCCCTGCCTCGTCCTGCCCCTCAGGGCAGATGGACCCTAGGCCCTGACATTAAATTTGAAGCTGGAACACAACTAAAGACCTAGAAATTTGCTTTAAAACTCAGAAGTGGGGGGCACAGTTAAACAAGTGGTTTCAATGGTCAAGTTCTCTGAAAATCACGTTGGAGGTGCAAGGTACAGACCTGGAGGAGGAAGATGGGTGGCAGAGGGGCCTGTGGGGCGACTCCAAGGCCGGGGAGACTAGAAGCTGAGATGCAGGAATAAAGTTGAGGCTTGTGGTTTTGGGGGAGAGAAATAGGAATGTTGGAGTAGCACTATACACGTAGTTGGAGGGCTCCATTTAGATGTAATGTGCTGAGGCCAACACAAGGTGGCAGGATGAGACCAGGTTTGTGGCCTGGCTGACCCAGCAGCGGACCTAAGCTCCCAGCAAGGAGCAGAGCATAGTAGACCAGGACACAGACACTGCTGTGTGTCACAAGATCCATCTGAGGGCACCTGGATTTCCAGCTCCTGAAAGTACCCTCTGGGTGGGGGGACCCGGTGAGAGGCTCCAGACTACGTGGGGACACCCATGCTGGTGGTGAGCAGGCTGGGAAGGGTGCACGGGGCTGCACGCACCAGTTCTGGGCCCCAGCTCCTCCTCACAGTTGGTCAGAGGCTTAAGCGGATGAGGCAGTTTTGCCTGTGAAAATCTCTGAGCATCTGGGGGCAGCGATGGGGTCCCAGGGGTGGCAGATCTGGAAACTTTGCTCTTTCTCTTCCAGGACACGAATTTCCCAGCCTTCCTCCAGACCTGGGGGCCACGTGATGGGGTCCCAGCCAGTGAGGTGTGGCTGGCAGGAATTCCAGATCTAGCCCAGTAGTCAACATCCCACACTCTGTCGCTGGCTGCCTTCCTCCCCTCCAGCAGAGCAGCTGGGGGCCAGGCAGACGAAGGGCATCACTGGCCGCCCTTCTCACCTGGAGTCAGCCCACACTCCTCTCCCAGTCCCTCTGCCACAGGGCTCCGCAGCTCCTCTCACTGAAGACGCAGGTCCCTTTCTTCTTGCTGAGCCTGGGATGTTAGCAGATGTGAGACCTACAAAGGCTTCAGGAAGCATTTACTTATTTCTGCTTTACTTTAGGACTTTCATTGCAGGTGAATGTTCACCCGCAATTACCCTGGAACCATCCTGAATGACCCTGCTGGAACATGAGAAAGCCCTGGGTCGTTGTCCTTCGGCCAACACCAGGACACACGAATCAGCCACCCTAACCCAGATGAACAAGGCCCAATGAGAAGAGCTGCCCAGCCAAGCGCAGGCTACACAACTGACCCACACACTCACAAACCAAGTAAATGTTTATTATGCTTTTGTGATTGGTTTTATGCAACATTTGTGTAACTAGATAAATATGACAGTGACGACCCAAAAAGAAGGAAAGGAGCAGAACTACACCCCGCCCCGGGGGCTTCGATGTTTACAAACAAAAGCTTTTACTGTTACAGTGAGAACTCAGGGTTAGCTTGTTACTGCTGCAGAGCCCATCCTGTCCTGGCGGATGCACCAGGAAACAGATGACAAGTCCCCATTCTGCTATGATGCCTGAGAAACCTGAGCAGAAGGGAGCTGGTAAGTAAATTGTAATATAGGGACAGCAATTAGCCCCCAGATTTCGGAGGAGTCCTGGCCAGTCTTCCGGAAGCCCATGCTCTGGTAGAGCGCTATGGCGGACTCCTGCAGCATGGTGGTGTTGAGCACAACCTCACTGTAGCCCTGGTCCCTCGCAAACTGCAGGAGAGTTCTGACCAGGGCTTTCGCTATCCCCTGGCCCCGGTGCTCCGAGGACACACTTAAGCGAAACAGCTGCAGCTGCCTCTTTTGCGGGGTGGGCTCCTCCACTGGCAGAGCTCCCACCGTGCCCACCACCTGCCCCTCAGACTCAGCGACCCAGAAGCAGGAGCCAGGCCCACTGAGGTAGGTTTTACTGATGTCAGACATGTCTGTGCGCAAAGTGTGGGACACGTACTCGGTCCAGGGGTATTTGGCAAGGAACCTCAAGGCAGCGAGGAGGGTGAGGCCGGCCACGAGAGCCAGGAACCAGGACCCAGAGACCAGGAATAGAGCGAGGGGCACCCCAAGCAAGAACACAAGTATTTTCGGCAGCTTCAGGATGTGGCGGAAGGTGGTGGAGGCATGCTCAGTCATGCCCTGGGAGAACAAGTCCAGGACACACTGGCAGTCACTCTCCTGATATTTGCGGATGTGGTAAGGAGCCATGGAAGACGTTGTGTGTCTGAATCTCAAAGTCCACCAGAGAGAGCTAGGCGTCCCTGCACCCCTTCCAGGCAGCCCTGGGGAAGACAGGAAGCCACATGAGAACGCCTACCTCTCCCACCTCCCAGGAACCAGAGACCCTGCTCAAGGGCTTGTCTTTGTGCTTCTGCCTGGCAGGAATTTGGCCACAGCCATGGGAGAAGGGGCAGGGTCAGAAAGACCTGCATGTGATTGATGTGGGAAGCTTTGAAAAACCTTTGCTCACCCAAAACCCCAGGCACCCTGGGAGAGCAATAAGGCCTCTGGGAAAAGCAAACAGCAGGATAGTCACAAGGACTGGGACTAGCACCCCCCGCTGATAGAACTAATTTTCACATTTAGCCTTTGTACTCTGCTTCTGCCCAGTAGATAGAACTAATTACTGCATTCCGCTTCTGTATCCCACTTTGCTACGTAGACAGGAAGACCCCTAGACTATATAAACCCCAAGAATCCTTTGTTCGGGGCTCAGAATTTGGAGACTGACTCCTCTGCACCTGCGCACGTTACTAAACCTCGTACTCCAGAATCCCTCGGTGTCTGGTTGCTTCGTTTTCCTATAACATGATCAGCTTCACTCCTCTCTTGCTGTGTGACCTTGAACATGTCACTTAACCCCCCTAAGCCTCTGCTTCTTTATCTGCACAGCAGCATAATCAAAATCTGCCTTCTGAGGTTGTTTTGAGATTTTGGTTCAACAACATATACAAAACTCTGGTATAAAAAGTATCCTCCACCTCCACCCTCTGTCCTTTTCTCTTGTCTCTTCTAAGCTTCTTGGTGTGTTGGGGTGACCCTGTGCAGCAGCCAGGGAGGGCATGTGTCCCCTACCCTTTGGTCCCTCTGCCAGGGCCCATATATTGCAGGAACCCTGTGTTCCCAGGTGTAGGTTTCAGCAAAGGCTCCTTCCCCCTTGACTGCAACTTTTTAGGCTGCTAAGGTGGCATAAGAGCCAAATACCAAAACCTGCCCTTCCCTGAGAGCCAGGAGGGCCTGGGGCTGCAGGCCACACCCAGGGCACTGTCTCTCCACCCCTGTCCTCTCACCTGTTACCCCCAAAGCCTCCAATGTCCACGGTGGCCTCCACCTCACCTCCTCTCTCAGCTGCTGACTGGCATTCAGGAAGAGTGTGCAGAGAGCCTGCACTGCCTCTGAGGACCAGTCCCTGGAGGCCACCTCATTGGGTGGGTCCTGATTTGTTAATCATGAACCCCAGTGTCAAGGAGCTGGGCCAGGACAGGACAGGGCACCTGTTCTCCATTCTCCTCTGTGATTACTAGTAATTAGTTGGGGTGAAGAAGGTGCTGTTAGCAGGTTCTTGAACAGCCTAAAAAGAAGGCACAGGGCTTATGAACAGTCCCTGTAATTTTCAGTGTGTTGGGGGGTAGCTGTTAGGGTCTAAAGACCCTTCACCTGGGGCAACTCAGTTGAAGGCTTGGCAGATGATTCCCTGGCTAGTGTAGCTCAGTGGATTGAGCTGGGGCCTGCGAACGAGAGAATCACGGTTCGATTCCCAGTCAGGGCACATGCCTGGGTTGCAGGCCAGTTGCCAGCAGGGGAGGCACGAAAGGTAGCCATACATTGATGTTTCTCTCCCTCTCTCCTTCCCTTCCCATCTAAAGATAAATAAAGTCTAAAAAAAATTAAAAAAAAAAAAAGACTTGGCAGATGAGGAGCAACAATGTTCACCAGGCTAATATAGCGCATTTCCCCCACCCTGTTCCAGAGCAGAGGGGAAGACACAACTTTCTGCTTTGGTATGTAATCCTTGACCTAGGAGCCAAATCACCGTGGTCTTCCAACGTGCTTCCCTCCCAGCACCAAACGCTCTCTAGCAAGTTTGCCTTTGCCAGTGGAGCATTTGGGCTCTGCAGGTACCAGGTTAAAGTAAAGGAAGCTGCTCCTAACTTGGCTAAAAGCGACTTTCTCTAAAAGACTTGTGGAGCTTATGTAAACCCACGAAATGGCATTGCTTTGATTTGTTTTCTTGTTAAAAGGAGCTGAAAACACCGTCTATCGTTACATAAACCAGACCTGTAAAACCGCTCTTCATAACATGCAATCCAATAAACATATGAGTTCTACTCCATCAGTTGTCCGACATGCCACAATGGCAAAATGCTTAAAAGTTAAAAGGACTGGCAGAGATTCGCAGGCTTGCACGCTGCTACTGGGCATGGAAAATGGCGCACCTTTCCGGTATTAAAAGCCTTTAAGGAGTGCACATCCTCTTTCCCAATAATTCCGCTTCGGGGAAGCTATCCTAAAGAAAGCAACATGTACCAAGATTTACTTGTTAGGGGACAAAAATAAAAGCAACACGAATGTGTAACAGAATTGTGGACGCGGTGGGGCCACACAGCAGTGAAACACGCACAGCCCGCACGCACTCGGGCTCCCTGATCGGCGCCCGGCGCCTCCAGCTCCACTTGCTCCTCCTCCCGCGGAGCCGCTTTCCTCCCAGCGCTGGGCTGTCACCTTCCGCAGCAGGACCCTCTAGTCCCGGCGCTGCCCTCGTGTGCCCCCGGGCTTTTCCCCTCCCGGTTACTTCCGGGCCCTCCCGCTGGTGCCCTCCGGGGCGGGGGGGCGCTTTCGCCTGGATTTCGGACCCCAGGGCACCGCCCCACCCTCTTCCTCTCTCACCGCCAAGGGGGCAGTCCGTGTCTTACCCCTCAGGCGCCCCGGCACCTCTGCCCAACAGCAGCCTCTCCCGGGTGCGGACACCTCTCGGGCCCCCCCAAAGAAGCGGCCAAAGAAGAAGGTGCGGGCCAGCCCCGTGGGGAAGCTGCCTGGCCGCTCCCACCGGTACCAGCAGCACCTGCCGCCTGGAGAGCGGGCGGGGCTCAACCGGCGGGGCAGAGGGAGCGGAGCGCGGTGCCGGACCTCGGGGACCGGGCCGCAGCCTAGGCCCCGGGTCTTGCAGCACACCCGGAATTGGGGAAGCGAGCCTTTTCCCTTGTCTGCTGCCTCCTGCGGCGCCTGGCAAGCCCTCGCTTAGAAAAGAGAAAATGGAGAAAATGTTCCTAGCTTGTCCTCTTGTGGACAACTGAAGATAAACAGACAAAAATCAGATGTAACTTACCGCTAACCAAGATCACTGCTGCAAAAAGAAATGAAAATAACTTTCAGCAGAATTCTGTTTTGTCTGACAAAATTCAGGAGCAAGGTGGGGGGAAAAGGCCTTTTTAAAATATTGAGAACATTTTTTTTTTTTTAAGCATTTGAAGAAATCAGCATTTTTGTTTCTTTTTTTTTTGTGGCCTGCTATCACTGACGGTTCTAACTGAAGTGAGCCAAAGGAAAATTATGCTGGGGCGGTTTAGTGATCCATGTCCTGCTGGCATTCCTCCAAAGCCATGTAGTCACTGGATGCAGAGCAGTATTGAAAATACCAACCCAAACAGGGAATTGATAGCAATACACTGAAAAACTTGCCTAGAAGTTCAAACTTAGATCTTGGATTTCAGTACGTATGTAAAACATATTTTTCCCCAAACTTCTGGACTCTTGAATATTAGTAGAGAAATGGAAATTTTCCTTGTTGCAAACTACAAGTGCAAAAGATGTTAAAAAAGTTACAGCTCGTATTATATTTTATTTTGTGAATACTATATACCATGTACTGTGTGTATATTGTTCGTATTTGAGAGGTACATTATAGTTTGGTTATGAGAGTACATAACTTTGCCTTGCCCAAATGGTAGGTGTTTTGTATATATGCAATGGAGATATTTTAAGTGTGTGCTGAGACATGTGGAAGACCAGTTTATTTGCACAGAGCACCAAGAAAGTTTTCAAGAAATAGCTGTCGAATCTCAAGGTGAAGATCCTAAACGTGAACAGTTTACTAATGCACTACTGACATTCAAATGTGCAGCACAATTACTGTGAAGGTGGGGTTTGTCTGTTTCTATAAATTACTTCCTGCCTTCCAATCTGTAATTACTGGAAAACTTCTCATGTTTTTACCAATTGTAGTTTCTGGTTTGGGGTTTATATCCATATTCAAACTTAAAATACCTCTAAATTTATTTTTTTTGAATTTTTTTGAATTTATTTATTTATCTTTAGAGGGGAAGGAAAGGAGAAAGGGAGAGAAACATCAATGTATGGTTGCCCTTTGCGCATCCCCTGCTGGGAACTGGCCTGCAGGGAACCAGCCTGCAACCCAGGCATGTGCCCTGACTGGGAATCGAACCTCGATTGTCTGGTTCGCAGGCCCGAGTTCAATCCACTGAGCTACACCAGCCAGGGCCTACCTCTAAATTTAATGCCTACAAAATCTGTTGTAATCAAATTTTTAAATAATACTAATTTGGCCCTCTTCCCCCCTTTAAAAATAAATAAAACGAACATGTTTAAGAGCGATGGCATGGGATGGTGTGATGAAGTCACTGATCGAGGACGTAAGTGCTGGAAAATTTTAGTTTAAGGTAAATAGTTATAAGCTTAGTAAATAATATATATGTTAAAGCTTTTGTTTCAGATCCTACAGATAAGGCCCACCCTCGATCCAGGGACAACAGCCGACCTCCTGGGGCACTGCTAAAGATTACTGCCTGGACAAGTGGAGGCATCGGGCCTTCGTGTTACAGGGAGAGACAGACGACCACCCTCCCCTGGAAACAGCTAACTGCCCAGGGCAGGAATGTTGCAGTTTCTTCTACCCAATCCTCCCTGAACTTCAAAACCCCTCACCGCACCTTGTTTATTCCCTGCTATAAAAACATTGGCCTGGAAAGAAAAGATAAGACAGTTCTTTTGGGTGTGAACCGGCCCTCTTCTCAGATCACAGACCATCTGAATAAAGAGCCCATAAAGATTCAATTGCTGTCATTGCTTATTGGGTTTGGTAGTAACAGGCAGCCTAAACACTGGTGTCTTTTCCAGTTTCAATATTCTAAATTGCTTTCTGCCTTCCAATCTGTAATTACTGGAACACTTCCCATGTCTACCAAATGTAGTTTCTGGTTTTTGGTTTATACCCATACTCAGACTTAAAATACCTCTAAGTTTAATGCCAACAAAATCTGTTGATTTTTAGATAATAATTTGGCCCTCTCTCCCCCTTTAAAAAATAAATGAAACAAACATGTTTGAGAGCAATGGCATGGGATGAAGTGGTGTGATGAAGTCGTCAGGAGCACAGCCTACCAGGCCTCGCAGATCTCAGATTTAACCCTGACCCCAGCATTTCGAGCTTTGAGGGGAGCCTCAGCTCTCTAAATTTCAGGGGGAAGCTGCCTTTATAATGGAGAGGTTTGGGGGGACCATCTGAACCAAGTGATCAAACTTTGTTTCACCAGTGTGGGGGACAACTGACATTATGTGCCTCTCGATGACATGCAAGTAGGCAGATGGACACAACATCCATCTACCTATTATTGTTCCAAAAATATTTGAATCGACTCAAATTAGGAACAACTCCAGATTGTAGAATTCTGAAAGACATCTACAGTACTCTAAAAAATGTTAACATATTTTTTAAAAAGGATTATTCTAGATTAAAGGAGACTAAGAGCCATGGCAATTAAATACAGTGTAGGGTGAGTACCCCAAGGTCTAACTTCCTCTCAAATAGTTCAGAAGAAAAGCAGGTATTGCATTTGTGTGACATGCAGACAGGTACTTGACACATACCAAATGTAGCAAATATTGACAGATGGTGAATTCACTTGAAAGACACATGGATATTCATTGTAATATTTGCAATTGTCTTGTATGCTTGAAATTTTTCGAAAAATTGAGAGACCAAGGCTGGTTCCTCACTTGGAAAATCTCTTGGGGTTGTAATGAGGACTAACTGAGGGAATGCTTATAAAGTGCTCTAGCACAGTACATGCAAGAAACATTAAGGGAAGATGGTGGTGAGGTAGGTGGGAGCAGAGCCCACTTCCCCCTGCGCTCAGCTGAACACCTAGTAGATCTTCTGAGGAACAGAGTGTACAGCTAATGGAATCCCAGCTTATATGAAGTATGGAGGCCAAAATTGTAGAGGACATTGAAAATCAGATTGCATTGGGACAGAAGGTCCCTGGGATCAGTGTGGGGACCAGAGCTGCTGCAGCCCCTGGCCCAGTCAGTTCCTGCCACAGGATCCTTGGAAGAGAGCCAGATCAGCAGCAGGATACACTTGGATGCTTGAGGTCGCTAAGAGGGAAAAGATGAAGTGGGAGGTACACAGGGGCGGTGTTCACCTGCTGGGAGTGTGGACTCCAGCTGGGTCATTACCAGAGAAATTAGGGAGCTGGGTGACACCTGAAGAAGGGAGACAAGTTGGGCTGTGATGGACCCTGACCCAGATAGTCTCTGGTCTGGTTAGAAAGTTAGGCTGTGTGAAAAGCCAGATGCTTGTTTAAGAATGGTGGGCTTAAACATGAGGATTTTACTTAAAAAAAAAAAAAAAGAAGAAGAAGAAAGAAAGAAAGAAAAAGGCACTCAGTCCCTGCTTAAGGAACTCTTGCACAGTGGCTGGCTGGCCGAGGGCAGCAGGGCCCAGGGAGTTAGCAATCCCCAGAAAGACTTAACTCAGTGGGGGAGCTGAACTACCCTGAAGAGACTTTGAGGGTGCCTAGCACGTAGGCCAGTAAAGAGGGAGAAGGTGATGTGTGAGTTTCCCCTAATTAGTGCACATCACAGGCAACTTAACTGGGGGGGGTTAGACATTGGCCTGGCTCAGATGGACAGTGGGGGCCTAGCAATGCATGGAGGACCTGGGCTGGAGGCTGGACAACTGTGAATATTGCAGCCCAGACCTAGCCTCCACCATTGCAAAACCAGGGGGAGAAAAGCAAAGCCCAGCCCCGCTCAGCCTACAGCATCAAGGAAGACCTGCAGAACTCCCTTGGCGGGTTTAAAGTCTGCAGGAGGCTTTTCTTCTTCTCCCCACCAGTCCCCCCCCCCCGCTTTATTTTCCAAGTGAGACAATAACACCTGGAGCTGTGAAAGGTCCAGATGGAGCACAAGGCCAACCACAACAACAGAGAAACAGACAAATGTCATTTGCTACCCCCATAGAACTTGCATATTATTATTTGTATTATTATTTTTACTTTTTATTTCATTAATATTTTTTCTCTTCTTTCTCTTTAGTTTTATTTATTTAATTGCATTGTTTGACTGGTTTTCCTGATTCTTTCATGTTGTATTTTCCTTCTTTCACTTCACTTGAGTTCCGATAGCACACTACCCTAGGTTGAGTACTTCCTATTCTTGTTATTCAGATCATATAGATTCTGTCATATTATTGTTGTTCTAGTACTATTGTAATTATTGTTCCATATGATTGTAAATACTACACAGCACCCCTGCTTGATCCTGGCCCATTTCACTGTCTTCTTGAGCTTTATTACTGTTATGGTTAATTTTATTCTCTTGCACACTAGGCCTACTTTCTATCCTTTACTCTCACTATAGCTCATCATCTGACCTTGCACAAGCTGTTTTCTGGATTCAGCTCAAAATCCTTCTCCCCTCTAACAAGAGTCTTAGCTCTTTTTCATCTTTTATGGAAGTGGCCAGTTGGGGGAAATATCATGGCTAATGCTACACTAACCCAAAAGATCACCTATCTCTTTTCTACTTGTTGGTACTTTAAATCCCATAGAATACTCTCCTGCTGTCTTAATCCACTTTGCCTTTCCCCTGCCACTGATTACATACAAGCATAGGTGGGAGCTGTGAACATCATTATACCTGCTGGAGGAGAGAACCCACCAACAAAGAAACCACCAAAAGGTAAAAACCCAAGTACAACAAGAGAGTCCACACAAACAGAAGAGCAACCCTAGAGCATCCAGACAAGGAGATCAAAGAGACCACACCACTAAATCCCACAGGACTCCTGCCATAGAAGTTGACCCTACAAAGACAGCTAGCAAAGCAGAACATCAGGAAGTGCAGGAACAAACAAAAAGAGTCACCTAAAATGGGGAAACAAACAAACAAACAAAAAAGAACCTGCAATCAAAAGGAACAGAAGACTCCCCACTAAAGAGCTAAACAAAATGGAGGTACTATCAGATACAGAATTCAAAATAATGGTTATAAGAATAACCATTCTTATAACCAAGCTCAAGGAGCTTGCAGACAATGACAAGGAACTGAATGAGAACTACAACAGTATGAAAAAGGAAATAGAAACTATAAACAAAAACAGAAATAAATGAAAAAGAAAACTTCTGAAATTAAAAACAAAATAGAATGAATTACAAGCAAACTGGATGAAGCAAAGGACCAAATCAGTGAGCTGGAAGACACAGTGGAAAGAAATAACCAGGTAGAGCAGCTGCACAAAAAAAAAATGACTAAAATAACAAGATAGCTTAAGGGTACTGTATGATAACATAAAACACATTTGAATCATAGGAATACAAGGAGAAGAAAAGGAATAAGGGATAGAAAGCGTGTTTGAAAAAATAATGACAGAAGACTTTCCGAACTTGGAGAGGGAGAAAACCATGTAAGTTCAGAAAGCACAGAAGATCCAAAGCAAAATGAACCCAAAAAGGCCAACTCCAAGACATATCATAACTAAGTTTTGAAGACAAAAAGAGAATCTTAAAAGCAGCAAGGGAGAAACAAGAAGTAACACACAAAGGGGCTCTGATAAGGCTAGCAGCTGACTTCTCAACAAAAACACTCCAATCCAAAAGGGAATAGCAAGAGATAGTCCAAGTAATGAAAAACAAAGGCCTGCAACCAAGATTAAAGCTAGTGAGGCTCTTGATTAAAATGGAAGGTGAAATAAGGAGTTTCCTAGACAAAAGTAGCCTCAAAGAATACACCCCCTCCAAAACCAGCTCTGCAAGATATGTTAAAGGGATTACTATAAGAAGAAGAAAAAAAAAGGGGGGGGGTGAGAAAGGGAGGAATACAACTACAAAGAAAGAAAAATGAATAAGTACCTATCAATAATAACCTTAAATGTTAATGGATTAAATGCTCTAATCAAACGAAACAGGATAGCTGAATGGATAACAAAACATGATACACACATATGCTGCCTACAAAAGGCCTACCTCAGAACAAAAGACCTACACAGGCTGAAAGTAAAGGGCTGGAAAAAAAATATTCCAAGCAAATGGACAGGGAAAAAATGCTGGGGCAGCAATACTCATATCAGACAAAACAGACTTCAAAAAAAAGGGCCATAAAAAGAGACCCAGGACACTTCATAATACTCAAGGGAAGAATCCATCAAGAAGGCATAAACATTATAAACATATATGCACCCAACATAGGAGCACCCAAATATATAAGGAAAATCTTGGAGGACTGCAAGAAAGATATTGACAGCAACATAATTATAATTATGTAGGGGGTTTTAACACCCTACTGTCAAAAATGGATAGATCTTCCAAGCAAAATATCAACAAAGATATTGTGACGTTGAACAATGCCCTAGATGAAAGGACTTAACTGATATTTATGGAACCTTTCATCCCAAAGAACCAAAGTATGAATTCTTTTCAAATGCACATAGTACATTTTCAAAGATAGACCACATGACAGGACACAAAACAAGCCTCAACAAATTCAAGAAAAGTGAAATCATATCAAGCATTTTCTCTAACCACAAAAGACTGAAACTGGAAACCAACCTCAAGGAAAAAAAAAACAAAACACTCAAACTCATGAAGATTGAATAGCATACTATTAGACAATGAATGGGTTAAGAATGAGATCAAGGAAGAAATCAAAAAAGCTCCTGGAAAGAACTTAAAGTGAATTCACAACAATCCAAAACTTATGGGGCACAGTGAAGGCAGTCCTGAAAGGGAAGTCCATAGTGATATATGCCTACCTAAAAAAGATAGAAACATTTC